AGTAAATTGCAGAGTGTTGAAGTTCCTACAGTCAGCAACTCTGTGTCCGGAGAGTCCTTCAATAATTGCATTAAAGGCCGCCACACCACATGGTCCTGTACAAAGAAATAGCTAAATACATATAGAAAAGAAATATTTTTATTGAAAAACATAGCATTCAAAAACATATCGAGGAACATAGTTGAAAACATTTTACACTAACACTAATAATAGGTCCTTGAAACAACATATTAATAAATTAATTTATTTAAATTAATTGGCAATAGGTTACAAAAAATAAAATTTAAATGTATATATTTTATTTTATGACACTGTTTAATTTATTTTCTAACAAAAATGGGGCTTATTATAATTTTGTAAAATGTTTTATCACATGTCAATACAAAGACCAAACTAACGTAGTACCTTTCAAAGAAGTTACCATTGAAAAAATGTTGTCTACGTCTAGTCTATATAATTACTAAATGTCTTTTGGTCCTATATGTAAAAACATATAATATTAAGCTAAAGTGCTATTACTAGATTATAGTAATGTAATAAAATGATGGATGGATGTTATTACTATGCATGTCGAAAACATTTAGACAAAAATCTGGAAGAACACTAACGGCCTTACGAATGAAAACGGTATAAAATTAAACTTAGGAATAAACTGAGTATATGCAAATATTAGTACAAGTTTTAATTATACTCAGTTTATTTCTAAGTTTAACTTTATGTCGCGTTTATTTTTAAGTCTGTTAGACTATAAATTAAGTTGCCTTTTTAATATTCACCTGAAATGTTGTCCTCAACTGCTGAACCGATCTAGACAGTGAGTGCAAACATCTTACAGCTGCTAATCTTACCTGAAATTCAGATTAAACACTTCAATAGGTGAAAAAAAGCTTGAAGTATCCGGCAACAAAGACCATTGATTATCTGTGTTACATTCGATAGATGTCATAATTCAAATTTGACATATGTCAAATCTGTCAAAAGTCTTATGTATTCACAAAGGCCTTTATAGGACATCTATATTAAGCATAAGGAAGATTTTCTCCCCATTAATATCATATAAACCTATTCACATTAATAAAAACCAATTTTAAAATTTCATTAATAGTAAGGTAATTTATCTGTGTGTAACATAGGATACATTTATTAATTTCGCGGACAAAGCCGCGAGCAACAGCTAGTAGTGGTATAAAATAACTTACAGTGGCATCTTGATTATTCATTCCGTACACAACATGCACCATAAGACCATGTGTTTCTATTATCCTCTTTCTGATATCTTCGTCATTAGCTCCCA